ACGTGTCCCACATGTGCTCTGGGTACAGAGCCTCCCAGGACCCCCACCCTGCCAGCTGCTCTCCAGAGGTAAACCCTGTTTATGATTTCCCATAATTCCTTCCAGAAGATGTTTTGCTCCTACTCCAGCACATGTGTGTGTGTTCTTTTTATTTACCCTGAAGCAATCACACTAACAGCCTTTCTGTATTCCCCATTCTTGTCTCAAGCCATGGTGGTGTTTTTGTGGGCATAACGCCCAAGTCACTGGTTGCCAGCTTGAATTTCTCCTCTGGGTTCCAGACCTACATATTCAACTGCCCGGTTGGCATCTCCACTTGAGTGGCTTCCAGAGCCTCACACTTTTGGGGGGGTCTAGCATCTTCCCTCACAAACGGGCTCCACGTCTTACTTCTCCCGGCTCCGCCCACCCCTGTTTCCCCAAAAGGCTCTACCATTCACCCAAGCTAGCAGCCTGAGAGTCACCCCTGAAAGACTGACGTCACCTGTAGTCTGTCTCTGAGTCCAGGATGTGTTCCTTAGGTCACAGAGCCCCCTGTGCTTCAGATTCCTGGGGAGTTCTTGTGAAGTGATAGTTCCTGCTGGTGGTCAGAGCCCTTTCTGGACACAGTATCTTCTCAGCAAATGCTGGTGTGATTATTATTGTTACCCATGACCCCTCCCTTGCCCAACAACCTATATTCAATCAATCACCCGCAACTGTCCATTCTCTCAGCCTTCTGCCCAGCCTCCCCAATCCTCACCAGCCCCTCCGTTCTGTTCTGCTCTTGGTATCTGGCATGATCCTAAATCCACGCTGTCACTCCCTTGGCTCAGGGCACAGCAGAGATCCAGCAGGAATGTCCCAGCTGTTTGTGACCAGTGTCTTTTCTGATTGGTTAGTGCCCTGCTGAACTGACGGGTCATATTTTTGACGGGCCCGAGGTTCTGTGCAGTCCGCCACCAGCCTCCTCACCAACCCCATCTCTCTTTGGTCCCCTTATGGTTCATGTTTCAACTGGAGCCAACATCTTACACGTCTCCAAACAGGACACACTTTCTCTCTAACCCCCGGGCTTTCACACATACTCTTCCCTGGGCCTGAAGCTCTTCCTTCCCTCCTCCCCACCTGGCTAATTCCTACTTACCTACCCAGCAGGTCATGCTCCGAAAAGACCCTCGCTCATCCTGCTCCCATAACAGCCTCTTGTAAAGTTGATCACACTCGCAATTTCTTGGTGAGGGTTTCTCTCCATTTCTGACTTAAAATTCATTCTTGCCTATGGTTTTCCTACCACTAAAATGCAAGCCATCCAGGGGCTAGAGGCCTTTCACCCAGTTTATTGCTGTGTGCTCAGCTCTGGCCCAGAGGAGGGCATGCAGAAAACATTTGTTGATTCACTTACTAATTCAGCCACTCAACAAATAATCTGTCAATCACCTTTCTGCGCCAGGTACATCAGTGAATCAAACCATCGTGAATCCTATCCCTGTGAAGCATATATGCAAGTGAACAGAGAGACCAACAATAAGCACACTAAATAAGAAAACTGTGTGTTAGAGAGTGATAAACGCTATGAAAAATCAGGAGATGAGAAGAGGGGGTTGGCAGAGCCTTGGAGAGGGGCTGCAATTTTAGATGGAGTGAGATTTGAACAAAGATACTAAAATGGGCAGGGAGGGAGCTCTGCAGATGTCTAGGGAAGCACATTCCAGGCAGAGGGAACAGCCAAGGCAAAGACTGTCAGGCAGGAGCACGTGGGCTGTGTTCAAGGAAAACCCAAAGGGCCAGTGGACTGGAGCAGAGAGAGGGAGGGGGAGGGCAGGGGGGAGGATGAGGCCAAAGAGGCCGGGGGCACAGATCATGTAAGGCCTTGTAGAAATGCTGGCTTTTATTCTCAGAGAAATGAGAGCCATTTCTTTTGACAGCTTTACTGAGATATAATTTACATACTATGAAATTCACTTGTTGTAAGCATACAATTCAATGATTTTTAGTAAATTACAGAGTGGTGCAGCCGCCATCACTATCCAGCTTTAATGTTTATTTTACCCCAGAAAGATCTTTTATGCCCATCCGCAGTCCGTCTCCATTCCCACTGCCAGCCCCAGCCAACCACTAATCGGTTTTCTATATATATAGTTTTGCCTTTTCTGGACATTTTACATAAACAAAGTCATAGAATATGTGCTGTTTTTTTCATCTAGCTTTTTCATTGAGTATAATGGTTTTTGAGATGTGTTCATATTATAGCATATATCAGCAGTGTGTTCCTTTTTATTGCTTAATAGTATTCCGTTGTGTGGACATATGTTTTCATTTCTCTTGGGGAGATACCTAGGAGTGGAATTGCTGGGTCATATGGTAAATTTATGTTTCACTTTTAAAGAACCTACCAAACTGTTTTTCAAATGGGCTGCCATGTGGAGAATAGTCTACAGTGGAGCAGGAATGGAAGCTGAGAGACCAGTTGTTTAATTAACATAATTAATTAAATAAACCCATTGGGCTCAAAGAGAAAGGAGTTAGGATTGTCACCAGGTTGGCACCAAAGACCCTCATGGGGAACCCAGGCCAAGGAACCCCCGCCTGCAAACCCAGCCTTCCCAGCTCCCGAAGGCTCGGAAGGCCTGTCTCACCCCCACCTCGCCCTCTGCACCACCCAACCCCCAGACAGCTGCCACGCAGCCGAAGCGTGAAAATCCCCAGTTTGGAGAAGAATCAGCATCAAGCATGACTGTTCGAAGCTACTGAGCCCTCGCCCCTCAGGGAGATGACAAAATTTTCTTTGCAATTAAAATTCCTTTGAAACTGGGACCCAGGAAAATGCAGAGGAGAAAGCTTTTTAAACCAGGGGAAATACTCTTCTTAGCAATTACCATGTGTGCATTTCAACAAAAGCAGTTCTCCTCCCCCCTCCTTGGAAACTGCCCCTGCCTGGGTTCTGCCTCTGCATTCACAGAGGGCCCAGGGGCCTCCCTTGGCTTTCAAAACTTTTCCCTGGCCATTCCTGGCTTCTCTGCCCACTCTTAGCTCTTAGATTCGTCATACATTCCAGCCTTCACTTCGGGCGTTTACTTACAATGTGACTTCTTGTGAGTCCTCCCTTCCCAACCCAATGGCTCTTCTGCTAAGATGCAAGTCCATCTTTGTGCTCACTCTAGTCCTCTCCACTACCTCTGGCCATTGTCTCTCCCCACCTCACAGGGATCTTTCTGTCCTCTGAGCTCACAGCCCAGCCTCTCTGCACAGCTCACTGAACTCTGACCACAGTGCTTTGTTAGAATCTTGGCCTGGGAATCTGATGTTCAATGCATTAGGAAGAGCAGGGATGTTGGAGACCTGGGTTCACTTCATTCATTCAATCAACAAATATTCATTGAGCCATGCATTTGCTAAACCCTAGGGATTAGCAATTTCTATGCTTAGAAATAGGAGGCTAGGTTTTTTGGACCAACACTTCAGTTGAAAAGAGCTAAGACTGCTGGATAAAATAGAAAAAGCATCTTATTAAAGCATCAAAGAGCTGACAAGTAGGCTCTTTGTAAGGAATTACCAGGAATTATTAGGTCAAAACTGAAGGGAAAACAGAAACCCAGAGAAGTTAAAGAACATGGAATCTGCTTTTGTCCTGAGGGTGTTTGCTGATCTTGGAAATTTTGAATTTGTTTTTGATGATCTCACAGCAAAAAGGGAATTAAAATCAAAGTCCATGGCCTGAAAAAGGTGTGCAGTCAAGTAGGAGACCCTCAATGAAAGAAGCTGGGACTCCAGAGGGCTTCACCCTTAGGGTAAGGGTGAACCAAAGGTAACCCAGTCTTGAATCGTGGATTGGCAGCCTCTTCCACACTACTTGAGTATGTCGGGAAACCTCAAGCCTTGAATTTCTTTTTTCATCTTCAACCTTGAATTTTGTCCAAAACAGTAACCCCACAGCCAAGTGCAAATCCTTGTTAGGAGAAAATACCTTCATCCTGGGCTTGAAATTCTTCCTAAATAAATAAATAAATAATCCAAGAACAATGGCCAACACACAGTCAAAGATAACCAGACATTCCAGAAAACAATGAGCTAAGCACTAGAGCTATATTGTAAGCAAACAAATGACATCCCTTGCTTCATGGGGCTTCATGGGCCTTGTATCAAGGCCACTAAGAATCCCTGCATTGCCCAGCCGAGTCACTTCTCTGTCGTTAGTTTACTTGCCTCCCAGCAGCTTACAACATGCTGACCTCTAGTTCCGCTCTTGGTTTCCATGACACCACAGTCTCTTGGATGGCCTCCAACTTCTCTGGCAGTTTCCTCTCAGTCTTTCTGCTTCCTTCTCCTCTATTTCATCTCTGACGTTGGAATGCCCCAAGGATCACTTCTGGGCCTGCCCTCTATCTCTCCCCAAGTGATCTCATTCATTTCCTCGGCATTAAATATCACCTACATGCTGATGAACCTCAGATTTATATCCTCTCTCCTTGGGATTCCAGACTATGCCATCCAACTGCCTGCTACACATCTCTGCTTTCATGTCTTGTGAATGTCTGAAACGTAACATACCTGAAAAGGTATTCTTGTTTCCTCCCCCAACCTTTCCTCCCCTAATTCACTCCATAATGGTGTCACACCATCCAGTGTCAAGCCAAAAATCTGAGTCATCCGGAATCCCTGATTTGAATTCGGGTAGTGATAGACATGATGCAGAGTAGTCAACGTAGAGTTATTTAAGAATTAAAGTGAACTAGACTTGATAGATTGTCCATTGTGGGGTGCAGGGTTGAGAGCTGTCAAGCATGACTTCCAGCCTCTGGTTGGATCATCTGACAGATGTGGTCACTGAGATGGGCACCCTAGAGAACAGGCACGTTTTGAGGAAGAAGAGCATATGTTTGACTTTGGATGTGTTGGGTTGGAGGTTTCCCAGAGGCATCTAAGTGGGGTGTTGAGGGGATAACACCTGAGCTTCAGAAGGGAGGTTGAGACTAAGTTTGGGAGTTACCATAGTATTGATAGTCATTGAAGCCATTGGCATGGCTGAGATTGCCCAGGAAAAGATTGAGGAGTTTGGAGGTGCGATAGGGGAGGATGAGCCTACAAAAGAGCTGCAGAAGGCATTATTGCAGCAGTAGAGAAAAACAACAGTTGTCTAGTTGTGTGTTTCAAATGCCGCTGAGAGGTTGAGGAAAAGGAAGAGTGGAGAACATCCATTGAGTGTAGCAAGATGGCGGTCATCGGTGACCTCTGTGAGCCATCTTGATGCCGTGTTGGGGATGACAGCCAGGTGGCAGCGGGTGGAGGAGAGAGTGGGGGCGAGTAGCCATTGGCATGGCTGAGATTGCCCAGGAAAAGATTGAGGAGTTTGGAGGTGGGATAGGGGAGGATGAGCCTACAAAAGAGCTGCAGAAGGCATTATTGCAGCAGTAGAGAAAAACAACAGTTGTCTAGTTGTGTGTTTCAAATGCTGCTGAGAGGTTGAGGAAAAGGAAGAGTGGAGAACATCCATTGAGTGTAGCAAGATGGCGGTCATCGGTGACCTCTGTGAGCCATCTTGATGCCGTGTTGGGGATGACAGCCAGGTGGCAGCGGGTGGAGGAGAGAGTGAGTGCAGTCGGTCTTCGGAGAAGTTCTGCTGTGAAGGGAAGGGGCTGGGAGCTGCCAGGAGGGATGTGCTTCTTTTCTGTTTTGTTTTGTGTTTTTAAGACGGAGTCTACTTGAGCACATGCAAATTCTGATGCTCAGGAGCCCATTAGAGAGAGGTGAAGTTCACGCAGGAGAAGGAACAATCTGCAGTGTGAGTTATCTCAGATGCCAGAAGGTGTCAGCCGGCTCCTGAGCGCAGATAGGGGACTGACCTCAGACAAGAGGAGGGGCATTTTCTCTGTTGCAAAGGGCGAGAATGGAGGACGGTCACAGATGTGTTTCCTCATCTATAAAATGGGGATAATAGTGCGTGCTTCAGGCGGGGCAGGGATTTGATGAATGGATGCTGATAATGGGCTCGGCCCAGGGTGATAATCACAGGTGGTAAAAGCTCTACAAACATCAGCTGCTGTTATTATCGTTCATCCTCACAGCTCTGATCCACTCTCACTTGTGGGTAATAATAATCAAGCCTCACCTGGTTACAGCACTTGATTCTATCCAGAGGATTCCTTTCACATTCGTCATCTACCTGCGCCTCACAATAAACCTGGGAAGATTTATTTTCCCCGTTTTATGGACGAGAACACTGAGGCTCAGAGAGAGGAAGCGGCTTGACCAAGGTCACACAGCTGGTAGCAGGAGCCAGTCCAGGTCCCACTCCCAAACCCACGCTCTCCCACGCCTTCTCCGTAGAGATGGATGCAGATTGCAGCCTCCCCACCACTGTGCGGCCCCTGCAGTACAGCCCGGTATGTGAACCCCGTTTCCCTCAGTATTTGCAGTGCCCCGTGGATAAAGGGATGGAGGGATCCAAGACTAGAAGCTATAGCTTTAAATTCAGGAAGGAGGGGATGAAGGTTTGCACAAGGTGCTTGCCTTCTTGTTCCAGCCTGAGGCGGGAGATTAGGGGAGAAGATGCCCTACCTGCCAGCTCCACTGCTTGTCAGGAGAGAGAATAAAGACCTGCCAGCAGTTGCTGCCTATCTGTCACCCAGACAGGGCCCTGCTCCGTCTTGGGGGACAATTTGGCCAAAGGAGTTTGCAGTCTGCAGCCCCAGCTGTTCTGACCTAGGGATGTAAGACCCATGAGAAATATTCCCTCCCTCCATCCTCCTATCTATTCAGGCAAAACTGGGTCATAATGAGTGTTCCCACCTCCAAGTAAGACCTAGATCCTCCCCAAGGTGCTCAACATGGCCACATTACTTTCTACCCTCTCCCCCACCTCCCTTACCCTCCTCACTGCATCCACCCGCACTCTGAATATTTCTTCCTCCAAAACTTAGCTCAAGCAGTTCCCTCAGCCTGGCATTCCCTTCCCCCTTCGCTCTGTGTGGTGAGCCCCAACTTACTCTTCAAGGAGCAGTTCAAATGTTACCTGCTGCAGGAAGCCCTACTGACTCCCTTAGATAAAACCAAGCCTTTATTGAGCACCTACTATGTGTTGGTCCATGGGTTAGGCTCTGGGGTATAGATATGCATCAGATCCTGGCCCTGACTCCAGAGGTTCAGGATTGCAATCCAGGAGGAAGAAGTGACAAAGCTGGAGGCCCCTTGGGGATGTGGATGGGAAGCTGCAGAGGAAGTGGGTCGTGATAACTCCTGGTGGGCAGGCTTGGGGCAGGGCAAGTGCTGACCTCAGGCCCCAGACCCAAGAACACAAGTGGCAGGCAGTTTCCCTGGCCACCCTCGTGTCTCCCTGGTATGTGAACGTGTCTTGAGTGTCTTCTGTCTGCGCATCTAAACAAGACGCGTGGGCTGGAGGGAGGCAGCGTGGAGCAGGGGGAGCACTGAGTTAGGAGCATGGCTGTGGATGATAACAATCAAGCTCCCCGGTTACAGCACTCGATTCTATCCAGGTTGCCTGTGTGACGTTGGGCAAGGCACCTGACCTCTCTGTACCTTATCTCCTCCACAGAATGTTACTAGAACTAAGACCTGCCTCATTTGGGTTGCTCATAAATTAAGTGGACTACACATGTGAGATGCTCAGAATGGTGGTATCAAGCATTCAATAGATGTTAGCTATTTTATTACTATGTATTAATTTACTTGGCAGAAGATTTGGGTCCATTATCAGCTCCCCTGTTCACTAGGAAAATTCATCCCCTCTCAGAGCCTGTCTCCATCAGAAAATGAGGCAAGTAGTAGATTTCCAGCTCTGATATTCAGGGACATGAATGACTGGGGGTGGGCAATTGTAAGGGGAGGGAGAGATGATATAAGAAAGAACCAATTGGCAAGGATGTGGAGAAAAGGGCACCCTGGTGCACTGCTGGTGGGAATGCAGACTGGTACAGCCACTGTGGAGAACAGTATGGAGGTTCTTCAAAAAATTAAAAATGGGACTGCTGTGTGAACCAGTGATCCCCCTTCTGGGAATATATCCTAAGAAATCAGAAACACCAATTAGAAAGAATATATGCACCCCTACGTTCATTGCAGTGTAATTAATGACAGCTAAGATCTGGAAACAACCCAAGTGCCCATCAGTAGATGAGTGGATAAAAAAGCTGTGGTACATTACACAATGGAATACTATGGGGCTGTAAAAAAGAAGGAGCTTTTATCCTTTGAGACAGCATGGAGGGTATTATACTAAGCGAAATAAGCCAGTCAGAGAAAGACATGATCTCACTTATATGTGGAATCTAATGAACAAAATAAACTGACAAACAAAATAGGTCTAGAGGTATGGATGCATGGGACAGAAGAACAGACCTTGGGTCGGGGGGACAGGAAGAGATTAACCAAAGAACATATATGCATATATACATAATGCATGGACACAGACAACAGTATGGGGAAGGCCTGGGGTAGGGCGGGGGTTGGCTGGAGGGGGACAAAAAAAGAGAAAATGGGAGACATCTGTAATACTGTCAACAATAAAAAAGAGGGAGGAAGGAAGGAAAGAAAGAAAAGAAAAGAAGAGGGAAGAGACCCAGGGCAGAGCTGGGCACGGAGCAGGGAGGAGACCCCCAAGCAGCCTACAGTGTCCATGAACCTCAAAAGGTCGGTTTGTAGAAGGGAGTTAGCAGCTGCATCATGGAGGACCTTAAATGATAAAACAATGCTTCTAAGGGATGACAGGGCTTGATCAATTATTTACAGATTGTGTCCAATCATTAGAGAGATAATGGGCCCCTCTGCAGAGGCAGTGATCTCCCCATCACTGGTGGAATTCAAGCAGAGGCTGAGGCCCAAGAGAGAATTCAGACATCAGATGGGTGGGCTAAGGCCTTCAGTGGTTCTCAACCTTCCTAATGCCACGACCCTTTAATACAGTTCCTCATGTTGTGGTGACCCCCAACCATAAAATTATTTTCGTTGCTACTTCATAACTGTAATTTTGCTACTGTTATGAATTGTAATGTAAATATCTGATATGCAGGATGTATTTTCAGGGGTCGCGACACACAGGTTGAGAACTGCTGCGGGGGTCTGAAACCCTCTAAGAGACTCTAAAACCCTCCAAAAGCAGCAGTTGGAGGAAGAGGCAGTGGCTTAAGTGGGACTTCAGCACTCCAGCCCTGAAATCAGCTGCTTCCTCTGTGTGTGACCTTGGTGGTTGACCTTGGCCCCAGTTTGCCCATCTACAACACGGGGCTGATGACAGTGTCTGCTTCATGTTGAGTGTGAGGAATAGATGTGACAGCATCGACACGCTTGTTCTTGCTGGGGTTACTATTACCTCTCTGCCTTGGCCTCCTGAAACCCCTCCCACTGTTTGGCCTCTCCTCTCTCCCATCCTAGGAGGAAGTGGACACCCTGGAGTCTGGGGCTCACCAGGCTCCAGCTCAAAGCCTCCCTAAGGAGCTTGCCATGGTTACCAGCCGCCTGAAAGGAGAGGCCATAAATCCTGAGCCTGGGTGGCGGGAGGGAGCGAACCCGTCTGAGGGGCGGGAAGTGGGGCAGCTAAGTGGAATTGAATCTTATTTAAGGAGGAGGCCCACGCCTTCCCGGGGTCTGTAATTTACTGCGAGGTTGACAACATGAAAGCAGAATTTTCAGTGGCATAATCGCTTGGACCTCAGGGAACCGTGGGAGATGAGCTGCGAGGCAGGCGGTGGCAGCCAGGCTTTCAGCGAGATCCCGGAGCTGATCCCGCTGTGATCACAGCAGGTGGCAGCCAGGGGCACAGGGCTCAGAGCAGGGGCCAGGGCCTGGCTGGCTAAGCCCAGGGCTCAGGCCTCGGCTTGTCTGCTGTCGTCTCCAGGGCCAAGGTCAGGCCCTGATTTTTCCAGCAGATTTTATGTAGTGGAACATGCCGCCCAAAACGGCTGTGACAGTGGCTGCTGATGGCCCTCAGCCGACCCCTTCTCAGGGATTGCACTCAGCCAGCGTCAGCTGTCTCACTCAGGCCACGCCCCCTGGATGGGGGGTGGGGGTAACCTGGTTAGGGAGGGGTCTGGAAGCTGCAGGATTCAAAGGCTGGGCCCCTTGCCTCAAACAAGGGGCCTGGAAGCCACAGAGCGCCCATGGGACCAGCTGAGGCCTCACAGCTCAGCTTCTCCCTCTGCCCGGCCCTGTCTCCCTCGCCCCTTCCATGGTGTGGCCCAGACTCTTCTCAGTGAACCTGCAGGAGGCGGATCTCTGTCCAGGAACCTTTTCCAGGGAGCCAGATCGAGGGCCTTCCATCACCAGGAAGCTTTTGTTGTTGCTGTTGTTGTTAATCCTCAGTGGAGGATATTTTTCCTTTTTTTTTTTTTTTAAGGGAGAGTGAATGAGAGGGAGACACACACAGAGAGGAACATCAATGTGAAAGAGACACAATGATTGGTTGCCTCCCACATGTGCCTGACCAGGGCTGGGGATCGAACCTCCAACTGAGGTACATGCCCTTGAACTGGAATCGAACCTGGGACCCTTCCGTCCGCAGCTGATGCTCTATCCACTGAGCCAAGCCGGCTAGGGCAAGAGGCTTGTTTTAAAGCAGCATCTGCGTGTCATGCTGGGTTAGGGTCACAAAGCCTTCTTCCCTGATGGGGAGACTGAGGCCCAGAGAAGGAAGACACTTATCAGGAGCCCATGATATTAGGGGCAGAAGCAGGGATGTCAGACTCCGGCCCACTAGTCCAACTCCTTCATTTTACAGATGGGAAGACCAAGGCCCAGAGGGTTGGGGAAGGGTGTGATTCACCATCTATGACAAGGCGCAGGGCAGAGTAGGTAATGAAGGCAGTGTGCTGGGGTGAAAGCTCACAGCTTTGGAGTTGGGTCCCAGCCATGTGGTCTCGGGCCTCTGTTTTTCATCAGTCACTGGAGAGACTGCCAGTAAAGCCCATCTCAGGAGGATGGGGTGAGGGTTGCCTAAAATAATGACAATAAGACCTCTCACTGGCTGTGTGTGGAAGGAGCGCTTCACATACATCTTGATGAATCACGATGAAGATGTATCGCTCATAGCAGGTGCCCAATGCTTGATCTCCGTTTTACAACCACCTGGTCTGGGGGCTCCCCGGCCAGCATGGGAGTCTGCGAGGGAGCTCCTCCAGACTTGGGGCCGGCTCCGGGGTCAGACTTTCCTAGTTTGAGTCCCGGATTCCCACTTCCTGGCGGTAACGTTGGTTAGTTACTGTACTTCTCTGTGCCCCAGTTTCTTCATCTGTAAAATAAGAATAATAGAACAGACTGTGACACAGACAAAACCTGGTAACTCATATAAAGTGCTTAGTGCTGTGGTTAATAAGCATAGCCTCTTATTTTGAGCTCATCAAATGCATGAGTCTTGACACAAAGAAGCACCCAT